AAATAGGCAGATCAGGTGTATCTCTCAGCTCGATGTGTGTTTTATGGTACAGGTGCAGATGACCATACCAACAAGAATTCAACACATGCAGAAATACATTGTTAGGGATTTTGAGTATGGACAGTAGCTAGGCTTGGGCAACATGTGCTAGATTCCTGACATGCCTTCTCAGGGTAAAACTTTTCACTTTGTGACTGTAGTTTAATCAACTAATGGTCAAGTGTCTACTGCTGTAATCCTCTGCAGAGACAGAAGAAAAAGATAAGCTTCAGTTTTTGGAGCAAGGTGCATGTTCTCCATGTCTCCGCTGTGGGATATGTTGGTCATTTCCTTTTTTAGTTCATTAGTTCCAATTACTTAGGGCTACTTGTTCAAGCTGAAAGAGATAGTGAGCAAACCAGGCTGTATTAAGGTCCACTTACCACCTATTATGGCCCTAGCTATAGATGTGGTCTTGGCTTTGTCATCCATGCTGTAGTCATATATTCTATCCTCATTCTTTACCTGTCCCTCTTATCAGTAAAGACATGGTTTGTCTATCTATTGGGGGGGAACTGAAGTAGTGCTAGGTATGCCTTGCCCTTACATGCCCATGCTCTGAGTCTGAGGGGGGCAGGACAAAGCACACCACACTACAGGGTATGACAAAGGGAAAAAGTTCTTTTGCTTTCAAATGATAACCATACATGTCAATTACATACTTCAGGTACTGCTAAGTAATCTTTGTTTCATAATTAAGATAACTTTAAGAATGTCTTTTCCCTTCCTGGAATTGGCTGACACACTGATTACACCCCAGCCGTCTCCTGGAATAAGCAACATAGGCATCTGTCCTAGAGATAAACAGACCTCTTCAAAGCACTGTTTTGATTCATTCCTGGAGCTGGTTCACTATGTGTATTGGATAGAGACTGGAGACCTCTGAAAAATTATTATGGTTGTATAATTAAAGACTAACATAATACATATGCACAAAATTGTAAAATGCAGTAGAATGCAAATTATGGTATTTTCTCATTTTATTTTAGTGTCTTGACTTTGCAGTTCTTTTTTGGCAAAGTTACTGGGTTTTGGTTTTTTCTTTTTTTTTGTTGTTGGTTTTTTGGGGTGTTTTTTTGTTTGGGTTTTTTGTTGTGTTTTTGTTTTGTTTTAAATTAACAGGCAGATTATAGGCACTGTGTTTTGTGACATTTTTAATCAGCCTTACAGGTAAGATATTTAGAGGTAGAAAGTTGAGAGCCAACTTCAATTGAAGGTCCATTTCACTTTGTGATCCTTCAAAAATCTGATCCTGCATATGCGTTTGTGATTTTTCAGTATGCTTTACATACATACTTTGAGGAAGTCTATGTCATGGATGAATGTATAGATAACAACCAAGGGCTGGGATTTAAAGTTCTGGGACCCATATCTTCTTTAAGAGTTGTTATTACTAAGCAGTTTTTCTTTCTTTCAAGACAGAGTATTCTAAGAACTGAAATAGGCTGCCATATATACTAGCAGCTAAAAAGGAACGAGCTGCTGTCTGTACACAGCAAAAGTACAATCCAACCTGGGCAGGCTGTACTTAATCTTTTGGTAGCTTAATGATTGCTGCGTAGCCAAAGGCAGTGCCTTGTAGCTGGAGATTTCTCTTTTATCCGTAATGTAGTTTATCTAAGTCAGTCTTAGGATCTTTGTCTTCTCTGGAAGGTCCTAGCAGATTTTCCAGACTTGCTGGATTTTCAAACTTCTTTTCCAAGTTTTTTATTCTGCTTTATCATTCTGTATTTTATATTTTGATTTCCATTCATGGTCCTAGTCCTGGAACTTCCTTGCAAAGTTCTCATGTGCTACTAAGGACCTTTATGAATTGTTTCCGTTGTTGGGATTGTTTGGCAGTAGATCGGTAGCTTGTGGAAACAATGCAAAAGGCAAATGTGGGAGATGGAACAGTATCAGTTCACAAAACCAGGAGAACCTGTTCATGCTGAGAAACAAGAAAACATCATCTGATGCATGTGTGTGCAGAAGCACCAGGCTTCTTGGAAGAAATTGCTGAATTTAGGAAACAATCTTCAAAACTGCTGAGTACAAATTAATTACTACTGAAATGAAAGCTACGAAGAAAAATGGTAGTAGCCCTTTTACTTAGGAGCTAGAATGTTAGCCCTGACTTGTTCGTTTTATCACCCACACTACAAAATCTGTAGTCAGCATGCGTTATACTTATGCACATGCCACAATATACTCGTAAAAATCTGTTGTGTCTAAATTTCCTTTACTTGATTTAGCTTGCTCGAGTACTATAGTGGGAAGTGTTATAATTGCCTAGGTAAAGGGTTTTGATCAAATTGATCTTCCTGTGGCCAGTGTAGGTCTAATTTAATCTTGAAAATATATTGCAGGTTTGTAAGCCCCTTAAAAGGTTAGAAAGATCCTGCGTTCTAGCAAACCTTGCCTTCGATGCTATGATTTTTTTTTTCCTCCCTTTTTTTCACATATGACCATGTGCACAGCTCCTTGGGAAGCTTTAGAACAAAGTAGAACCTCCCAGGGATTTGCTGCTATAGTAGCATACTTAAAATATAACATACATATGTTAATAAAGGACAATTAAATTAAATTTGTAGGCTGTGTCCCCTTCTGAACTCACTCCTTCCGGCCTCTAAGACTGTAATCTCAGGCATGTTTAAAGCTGGAATAAACTATCATTGTGGCAAAAGCAGCAGTCCTGCCCTTTTGCTGTCCTGCGAGTGTTGGTTTTGCCAGCTCAGGTCTGCTACAGCTATATAGTAATCCAGATCAGGGGACTGATCTGACTGAAAAATACTTCCCCACCCCTATTTAGGACACAAGCTGTATCTTTGCTTTCATATTTTCTCTTCAAAAAGGTGCCATAGTTCTGTATTGTAACACCTTGCCTCCTTACATGCTCACAGTACAGGTATTTAAAAGGTATTTAAAAGAAACAAATGGGAAAAGGTGGCTAAAATTCTTGCTTTAAGGGAATAATATAGATCCTATTTAATCAAGTTACTAATATATCACAAGAATGGAATTTTTTTTACATCCAAGTTACACTTTTTCTTTTCAATCTAGCCTTGCATTTCTTTTAAGGAAGTGCATATGAAATAAAACAAACTCTTCTCTCCTACTACATATTACTAAGCAGTGGGTTGTTTTAACCAAAATAAATTTTTCTGTTAGAAAAAAATTACTTCAGGGTTTTGGGGTTTTGGTTTGGATTGTGGTTCGGGTTTTTTTGTTGTGTCGGTCCCCCCCCCCCCCCGATCTATTTTAGATTTCCTGGGCATAAATTTTTATATTCCATATGTATTGATCCACTTGGGGAGGTGAACAAGTACTTTTTTAAATACAGTATACAAATGGTGGCATTCTAAGCAGCTGTAGAAGATGAAAATCATCAACAATGGAAACTGAGAATCAGTGAGCTCATTTGAACTTTAGTGCTTAGTATAGCTTCTAACAGAAATCAAGTATTATTCTTTGGACATCATGTTTGACTGCCAAAAAATGCTCAATAGAGGAAATAAATTTATGAAGAAAGTAGTGCTAGTCCACTTACAGAAAATACAACATTAGCATGTTGGAGAAAGGAAGTTGGATCTTCAGTTTTGAGTAGATAGACTGTGGGAACATGAGATTTTTGGCAGTAAGATCTGTATTTCAGAGCTTTCAGTAACAGCAAACTTTTAATAACGTGTATTTATTTAAATTCCAGAACAGGAATATTAAAATAAAGCTTAATTATACCAGTCAGTGAACTAATTCTGTCCTTTAATTTTATTTAAAGACAACCTAAGAAAAAGAGGGTTCCAAAGAAATAATACTTATTAAGACAAAACTTTTGTTACATTTTCTATGGATACCGCTGCTTCTTGTCTGAAGATTTTAAATTTTATTCTTTCAAGCAAGAAGATAATCTTGTAGTAACCAGCATGAGGAAAACATTGTTCCAGGAATTTTGGGGGCATATTACAATGAAGGTTTCAGTTTGCACAGTAGAATGTTATACCACTCTTTATTAATTGTAGCATAATACAGTGTACAAAGAAAAACTGCTATCTTTTACATATTTGTACTTAACTTTTTTTTTATGATGGCGATGAGAATAAGAAAATTAATGTTTTTTAGAAACTGTCTGACTACAAGGGGCCGTTCTGTTATGCCGTCCCATTGTGTACAGTACTGTAGATACATGGGCATGGGTAGATTGTTCCCTCCATAAGATTGTTCCTGAACTTTGAAACTGGTTATTTTTATAAGCCTGCTAAAGGTTGTTTGTGGTTGTTTTGTTGTTTTTTTCTTTTTCCCTTTTACTTAAAAGAACAGAAGCTAAACTACAGTGAATTAAAAATGAGAGATTCAAACAATACAAACCAACCCTTCCTCAGGTTTTTGAGTGCCCTAGTGTGAAAGTGTTGCATATCCTATCTTGCTTTTTGTTTTGTTTTGCATCTAGTGTACTTCCCTTAAACCTCTGAGATTCATGTTAGACATCTGAAATATTACTTTGTACTTTCCGGAACAGCAGTGCCTGCTGGCATCTCATGCATTGCTTGCTTCTGCTCTGATGTTAAGGTAGCACCATGATAGAAGGCAGATGATGAAGCTGTTAAAAAAAAAAAAAAAAAATCTGAACTCTGAAACAATTTTACTTCTCTAGTATAAACATCAATATTTCTTTACTTCTAAGTTCTTATTTAAATGATAAAGTTTAGAATTAACTATTGTTTGTATGTAAATTTTTAGAATTGTTAAAAAGCCTCTCTGCATAGCTGTACTGGTGAAAGCAGCAGTTGCAAAATGAAGGGTATCATTTTAACAACTGTAGGCTTATATTCATCAAATTTTTTTGTAATATAAGAAGTTCCATCAAGAAGAAATGTAGAATTGGATGCTGGAGTTTTATAAAATAAGAAATAAGCCTGTGTTAAAAAATGATTTTTTTTCTATAACAGTCTTTCTTTCCTTTTTTTGTTTTTTTTTTCTTCTAGGACCGGAATAGGCCCTATGACACTTTTAACTTGCACTCTTTGGAAAATTCCTTAATGGATATGATAAGGACTGATCATGAGCCTCTGAAAGGTAAACACTACCCTCCCAGTGGCCCACCAATGAGTTTCGCTGATATAATGTGGAGGAATCATTTTACAGGTTAGGAATATTCATATGTCCATGCTTGCTTGGTGTTTAAACAAAAATCAGCTTTTCAGTATTGCTGTAAACTTTTTGCTAATGAATGAGTTGTCAGTTATGTAAAACTTCTGTTTTCACATCTTAAGATAATCATCTCTACTGTAGGAAGATAAGGTGAAATGTGTATACATTTATTATAAGTGCACAATCATAATATTATCTAACTGGCATTTCTGAAACTTGGTTTTGTGTATGAGCAAATTGCACAGTTGGGTCTCCTGCTGCAGTCACTCAGTTCAGAAAATGTGTAGTGCAACTAGAGTCCAATTGTTACATTCAACATCTTATTCAAAGTTAATACTGCTCTTATTTTTGGATCATCAGCTAGGATACAGGGTTTTAAAACAACCACTGTATCGGGGTTACTGTCTACAGTTGTTTCAGGATTCTTTTAAGAAAAAGTATCTTAATTTGGATTTCAAATTGTTAGGGGGAGCCAAAAGCTATTAGATGTTGTTATGTGCTGGGAAAATTTTTATTATTTATGCTACTAAACTGTATTTGTTCAACCAGGTGGAGTATTGGCGATTAAACCATTTCTAATACTTAGCTGATACTGAATAATGAAAGGTTGTGGCAACATTTAAATGAACAAATATTCCTGATCGACCTGCATAGTCCTCTGTCTTAATCTTTCATTGGTTAAGCTTAAAAATAGGTACATATTCTTGCTCACATGCATTCTTGCTGACTTTGAAGACTGAAGCTATTAGTAAGCTATATACAAAGGAAGTATTGAATTAGAAATGATTCTCAGACTCTAAGAAGTCAGAACACTGGAACTGGTAGACAAGAAATTTAGTTGTGTATGGCACATCCTATGCTAATGCTTATATACGTACTTTTCTGATGTCATGATTGCCTCGTTTGCTCCCCTACCCATTTATATATTACAGGTGGAAAAATATTTTTCTTGGTCTAAGGTTGTGTGCCTTTTTCACCATCTTTCTGGGTACAGAGGGTTTTTGCAACCATACCGAACAGAGTTGTGTACTCTCAGCTCTCTTAACCTGTGCTTTCCACTGTTATCTTGAAATTTGCTGTGCTATAGCCTTCATGTGTCTTTAACCATTTTTCAGCTGTCTAAAATGGCAAGAAATACTCTCATGTCTATTCTGATCATGGTCCTCCAAACTAAGTGTTAACCTGAAACTTTTAAAAAACAAGCTCAACAAAATTGAGATTTCTACTGGATGTACATTTCGTATGGTTGGTATTAAAAAAAAACACCAAAAACCCAACCCCAAATTGCTAGTAAGTAGATTTAAGTATTTATTGTCTCTTATTAAATGTATTATAATCTAACTAAAACTCCATGGGTTTTTTTAATCAATATTTATTTAAATTTACAAATTGAGACTAGTTTCTTAAAGACTGAATTTCCATATGAGCCTGAGTGTGGGGGAAAAAAAAGAGAAAGATTGGATTAGAAATTGTATTACTCTAGAAAAAGACTTTAACATCATACAAGTGCAATTTTGCTTATACTTTTATTATTGTCCCTTTGTAACCATTTAAAAATGTTTTTTGATCAGAATATTAGCACATAAAATAATAATAGGTACAAATCTTTAATTCTTTTGTGTTGTTGAGTCATTCTGTCAAGAATAGTTTCCAATACTTAGCTGAGCTTAGTCTATGTAAATGTTGCATGTAGCATATTCCACAGCTGCACCTGAGTGTCATAATACTATTTAATGTTGGTGTTTTGCATGAGGTAGAAATGAAATTCTTGGTTTCATTAAGCATTTTCATGCTTTTCAAGAAAAGTATCCTTTGCAAAACAATTTTTTCCATCTCTACTAGGTTATCAATATATGTAGGAGACTGATTTACATGGACATTTGAAAGCAGTAGGAAGTGTTTCCCTCTGCTGAAAAAGTAAAATCAAAGAGTTGGATATTAATTGTAAAGTTTGAGTTGATCTTTTCCATTTGCTAGTGGGACTGTTAGGTTTACATTTTCTTACAAACACTTCTGTCACTTATTGGATGTGCTCATTTTATCTTGCTTTGTCACTCAGTGCCACTCACCTGTTTTGGCCTTCCTGCCTTATTACTTAGCTCTCTTCCAGCTTCCAGTCCAGTAACTGCTGAAGTCTTGTTTACTATTAGTTATCTCTGTCTCTGCCCAGCTGGTTTTTTTCCCATTGATATAGTTAATTCCCTGTCTTGCTTTCTTTTCCTCCTCCCTCTATCTACATACAGGGCTTACTTTGCTAACCTCCAGCCTTGGCTAGACCTAGTGTGCACTTTCCTCCTGTTTTCACACTATGCAGCATGACTGGCAGTATCCATAGAAGTGGCTGTTTCAGGACATGCTCATTCTTCCTTCCAAGCAGTGTTGTCTTCCTCTGTGTTAGATAAAGAAAAATAATGAGATGGCTTTCAAATGACTTTTTAAATTGTTCACCTTTTGATAAAGGAGCCTTGTTTTCTCAAACAATTTTAGCTAACAGTGCTTCTGTGCTTTCCTGTCAGTTGGCCTTATATTTACTATCCAAATTTTTAAATGGAAGGAGTGAAAAGATGAGTACCAAAAGTCTCTGATTTTGAAAACACAGAAAGATTTAATTCTAGAAAAGCTATGCATGTTTTGGAGCCTCCAGTGCATGTTACAAAGCCAGTGCCGCTATTTCAGGATCATTTCAGCCTGCTGCTGGCAACAAAGTCTTCAGCAAATGCCTATATTTAGAAGTACTGTCTGTATATGTATTCATTAGTAAAAAATTGCAGGTGGTTTATCTGAAGTTTGAAACTTTGCTTGGTACATAGCCCTTCTTGGCATATGTGGCCTCTCACATCCCAGCAGATACTTGAAACAAAAAATAATTATCTTAGATATAGAGCAAGGGCTGTAGATTAGAATGTGGTTGGGAGGGTTAACCATAGAAGATTCTGATGTGAAGACCAAATTGAAATGTTTCTGGGATGTTTTTCTCTCATTTTGGGGTATAAGTTCCTCATGCTCTGCATTGTTCAGTGGAGGCAGTGAAGAAGCTCAGGGGTGAGAAAGGAAGTCTATCCTCTTGTTTGTAGTAGTTGAAGCTTCATACCTTCTCTGAATCTGAGGTATGATCAGACTTTGTCCTGCAGGCCATGGAAATTGAGCGTATTTCAAGATCACCAAAGCAGGTCACTTTTTTAAAGCATGATCCAATTGGCCTTGAGAGGGCCAAGTTCTCTTGTGGAACAAGAGAAAGGCTGAAGGATTGTTAGTGTAGCAGAAACTAACTGATCCTCAGTCTTACGATATTGAATTACTTGTATTGAATGAGTGCTAACTCAGTCTGTTTGGCAGGCTGGCTTGGTGCTCTTCAGCTAGAAGAGCTAGGGTCACTTAGTTCTTTTTAGGTGTTTCTTGCAGTAAGAGAGATTTGATACCAAGCTCTGAGGTTTCTGGACTTAGATAAGTAACCAGCTTATGCATCTATGTTGCATTTTATCTTGAGCCCAGGCTTGGGAGAAACAGTGCAGTATCAGCTCTTAGTCTGTTTCTGTCTAAAACTGCTTTGTTTTTCTCAGCTTTTCTTGCCAGATGGGGTACCCTGCTCTAGGTTCCTGTATTTCTGTCCTTGTAGTCTGGGAACTGTGTAACTTTACAAATAGTTTGCCATTTTCATGCTTTGAGATCTAAAGAATGTAAACTCATTAGAAAGGAAGTCTCATTTTCTTTTCTCCCAAGATAGTTAGGCAGACTTCCTTACCTGCTTTCTCTGCCATCAAGACCAACTCCAACATTTTTCTTCTCTTTCAGTCAATACTCATAAATCCTTTTCTCCTTTCAAAAAGGAGGAAAAAAAGAGGAAGAAAATACAGTAAAGGAATTGTTAAGCTTCTGCTAGTTAAAGACAAATTACTGTATATGGCCAAGGGAATCTGGTTGTTCCCTGTGTCAGTCATAACCAGGCCTATATGACAGAAGTGTGCAATATCTTCTAAGATGTTTTTCCTGAACTTATTTATTTCCTGAGTTGCTCATAAAATATAATATACGCTACAAATACACGGGAGAGAGTTTTGCTTTAACAAGGAAAGGACATATTTGCAGTATTTTATAACCTGTTGGTATTTACATACTGCTTCTACCTAATGCTGTAGGGCAAAACTGAATTATCAGAATAACTATGGGTAGATGCTACTTATTAATGACTAAAAAATTTTCTTCCTACATCAAAGTGTCTCCTGTTGATGGTCTAATATGTCACTGTTGCAATATGTTTATCTGTGTCAAACTATTGCACTCCAACACAGAGGCATTCTGATCTATAAAAAAATATTTTGATCAGTAGTAACTAGCAGCTGCCTTTGTTCTATTTTTAAATAATTAAATAAAATATTTCAGCTGTGTTAGATCATATGCTATGCACATGTGCTACTGACAGGTCATGAAACTGAATCAAAATATAAAATTGAGGAGAGAAATCATGTCACTTAAATATTTATTTTAAATTTACTGTTACAGTAGATAACTGTAATATTTGGGTTTTATTCTATATCAGAATGGAAACAAACTTTGTAATGTACAAATCCCCAACTAACAAAAATTCTGAGGTTTTTGTGAAGTATCAGTGTGACACATCTTCAGGTGTGAGTATTTGGAGACAACACATGTACAAGGAGAATTTCAAGAGTAGGCTTTATTAAAATTAATTTTGATGGGTATCATACATAAAAAGAAAGATAGATAAAATATGTGCTGATTATGTCATATTTCAGTAGAATGTACATGCTGCTTGACTATCTTAGCATTTGTTGTTCTGAGATTTGTTTGAGGCTTTGAATACAAATGTACAACAGTTCAGAAGTAGAAACAGCATCTGTGGGGTAACTTTTTATTTTGATTTTCAATACTTAATATAATGACACCTATATATCTGCACAACAGAAAACTGAAGTTACTGGGGTTACTACTTTTTAACTATTGTAAAGACTGTATCATATGAACACTAAGTAAAATTTAAGATTTCTTGTTTATTCTTAACTATATTGTTTATGAGGTTTGACAGCAGTGTTTCAAGATTATATGCAACTTAGACAATATTGTAGTACATGTAGAATGGACCTTTACTTTTCCATCTTGATCTTCAGTTAAATTCAACATATGCCACCAGATTTTGTTCAGCTCTAATTGTTCGTAAGCTTTTTGTAAACAATGCAGTAGGTTCACCACATGACCCGAGAAAAGTGAAGGTGAATGGATCATATTTGCGTTTGCAGTCAGCAGCTGAACGCAAAGGTCGTGCAAATAGAACAAATGTTGTCATCTCGGGCCTAGAAATGGTACCACCCAGTTAGAGCTTTTTGCAACACTTCCGTCAGAAAAAAGTGCACTGTAACAGCATTTCTCAAAATCTCAATGCTCATCAGACACCTTTCTGTAAATGCACGTGAAAACCACAGTGAGCAGACAGATATGTTTGCACATCTATTTGTGTGTAAACTTAGGCCACTCAAGCTAACCCTGCTAAAAGAAACATACTCTGTTCCCTTTCCATTTGAAACTCTGCTAATTTAAGAAAATCCTCTTTTTTTTTTTTTTCAGTACAGAATAAGACCATTAAATGGTTCATATTTATTAAATTAAAATAAGTTATTTCTTCAATGATCCTGTAGTACGATCATACTTCCTAATTTGCTGCTGGCATCCAGGATGTCCTTGTCTTTGACCTGTTGAATCTATTTTGGACGGGATTGGTGGGGGTTTTTTGTTTGTTTTGTTTAGTTTAAGGAGTGGTGATATAGATATCAATTTTTTCTTTTATTTCCATTTTTTCATTGTACTATTGAAGACTGGCCTTGCAGAAACCTGAAGCTCTTTTTCTTTTTTTTTCTTTCCCACTTTTATACTGTTTTGAGGGTTTTGTATATTTTTGCATAGATTGCTAATGGAAAAGTCTGCTTTCATATTGGTTTCTTTTATTCCCCCCCAAACTCACCAATAAGAATACCAATATTGCTCTTTTGAGTACAGTTCTAGAAGTACACGTGCAATGGGTATATGTGTACATACATTTGTCTGCCCCTTACAAGTAAAGCCAAATCTCTTTTTATGTTCATCAGGTCTTGCTTTTAAAGTACTAATATTTTGAAAATATAACCATTCTCAAGCTAACAATGTTAGCACTACTTAAATATATTCAAGACCTTTGTGTTTTATTGGAGCAATGTAATTTACTTATGAAGAGTACATTTTGTTGTAATATATATGCTGCTATATTTTATAGGTTGCTTTCTCTACCTATGGCATGTATTTGTGTAGTCAGTGATAGGAAGAACTTAGTATCAGCAAGCTTTATTACTGATATTCATAGCTGATAATTATACATTTCCGTTCTAATTGCCACAATATGTATTTGCACAGTAAAAATACACACATGTAAACACAGTAATAGTTCTTCATATTTCCCTTCTGGTGAACAATAGTATTTTTTGTTCTGCTGAGTATGTTAATGTGTAGAAGATATGTAAGTCGCAAGTAGGTGTTTAAATTATGGGTGTGAACAAATGGCAGATAGACTTAAAAAAAAGGACGTGGGGGGGTAAAATAGTTATGAAACCAAGACGGGCAAACTGAAAATGGCAGATGTATACCGAATACAAGGACTGGGGATGCTGTTACTGGAAGCGTTCCTATTTATGACTTCAGTAAACTGCTGGAGTCCATAACTTCTGTGCTCTAGCTTCTCTGTGTTTCTGCTTATTGTGCTTAAGATTCTTGAAAAGTAGAAGTTTTATCCAGATATTTCATTTTAAAATTATAGTTAGAAATATGTGCTTATATAGACTTCATAAAGTTACAGGTAGCATAAATGTGCTTTTCTTAAAATTGATTGTTTTCTGATAGTAATTTCTGTGTTTAACCCAAATATATCCTTGAAAGTACATATTCTTAATTACATTTCACAGTTTTACATTACACCTTTAAATGAATAAATTTATAGTTTCCTTTTTGTGCTCTCTTCTTATTCCTTAGATAATTATGCAGTTTCATAATCTGCATATGGCCTCTTTTTTTTCAATTGAATAACTTTCTTCAAACAGCAAGATGTTGTAGCTAATACGAAAGGCTATATAATTATTGGTAACTGCCTTATGATTGGAGCATTACCAGTCTGTTTTGAATGCTTTTAATACAGGTGTGTTTTGAAAGTATTCCATTAATTTATTTCTACAGAATTGCACTAGGGGACCTCTGAAGATGCACAGAATTATTCCACACTATTGCTTAGCTCAGTGTGAGAACATGTCCTTCTACTTGTGCTGCTCTGTATTTTTCTGCTCCTCTTAAAAGATAGCTGACAAGAACTGTTTAAAAATAGCAGGCCAAGGGCAGGTGACAAAATGTCACACAAGCAGCACCTGGTCCACTGATAGCCTGGAGGGAGGAAAAAAAACAAACCCAGATGTCACAGATACGATTCTATTTCTGAAGCTGGTCAAACAGCAGAATTTCAGCTTCAGCAAAGGAAAAGAGAAGGGCCATCCAAGCATTATGCATTCAAATTTTACTCTAGTTTTTTCATAGCAGTTCCCTTTTTTCTATTACAAGTATTAGTTTACAAGTATAGATTATTATATACACCTTTTCTCTTTACAAGTAATACCTGTAACCTCAGGCCCATTAATATGCTGTTAAGGAAAAGGGAATTAATGTCAATCTGGCAAGATTTCTGAAATATTTTAGCACAAGCTTGTACCAACTGAAATAGTAGCAGCTTTAATGTTTCTGGAGTGCCAGATTAATGTGAAAATATGTATAGGAGAATTATGTCTGTAATTACGGAATCTGAAGTAGTTAATGAAGGTCTCTCTAAGAAGCTTTGCTCGAGGAGTTAGAAAGTAAAAATGGAAATTTTATTTACCTTCCTTCTGCCCCTGCTTCTTTCTGGAGGTGCTGTTTGCTTCGTAGTCTTATTGTGGCCACACTTTTTTCTAAAAGAATGAGAAAATTACAATGTGAAGAAAATATGTATTTGCTTTTCTTAAACTGCTTGTGACAGTTTCAGAAGTGTACTGAAACTTCATGTTGCATCTGTTCAGAAAGAATATTAATTACAGCACAGCAGTTGCTGTGACTGGAAATAGAAGGCTTTAACTTATTGATAGGAACTAAAAATGTTGGAGACTATGGGCTTTCGTTTTGTCAAATCTTATTTGTTAAAACTTGATTTTGCGGAAGTACACAGGAACTTAATGGCTGCATTGGTTCTTCAGTATAGTGAGTGGGTCTTGAGCTCCCATATTTGAATGCCAACGTAGTGAAAAAAATGTAAACTGCCTGCTTCCTTAGCTCCCAAATTTAACCACAAATCTAGAGATACGGAGAGCATATGAAATGGATTACAACACTTGTCAGTAACTGAAGTTACTTACATTACTTAATTGAAATAAATTTTTATGTGGCTATAATGATCCTTTTATATCTTTTTCCAAACAAGGACTAATATCAATTCCAGTTTTCAAATTGTTTCGGGGGGTTTAATTAAGAAAGTCCTGTTACAAAGTTTCTTCAGGGTAAGTTTTTAATATTTCAGCTGAGTTAAATAGTATCTAAATCTAAAACTAATCTGAACAGTGGTGGAGTTGGCTCATTTTTTGCTTTGATGGTAAAGGTAGATTGCTGTGGAGTAGGCCTCCTTTGAAACTAAGTAACCTTGTGTGAATTTGTTCCCACTTCCAGTTCCTGAAGTCATCAGAGATCTTCTTAGGCCAACCTTCCAACTGATAAATCTCACTTAAGAAAATTGGTACTATTTTGCATGTCTGTAGCTTCCTGGAAATTGGCACCAGCAGAGTTCATTTGAATTTCATGGTGAACCTTCTGTATATAATGGTCCCATATTATGGGTTAAGAATAAATATTTTTCAAAGTATATACGAATGTATTCCATGAGAACAATGCTCCCTCCAACCCATTATCTTATCTCAAATAGTAAGTGATAGCAGATTCTTAGGGAAGAATACAAAAACAGGGTAAGCACTCTGTCTCCAATGATCTGTTAACTCAAGAGCTTCTGATGCCACAGGTAGTATGGAAAATAGTGTTTTATTTTTACCAATTAAGTGGAGTTTTTATAATGCTGTACTTGTTATTTGAAGCCTACTATAAATGGCATGACTGCAGCAAGGCTGAACTTTGAGGCCTTATTTTGAAAGGGTAAATGTAATACTTTCCTAGTACAAAGCAAAGGGATATATTTAAAAATAATTATTTTATCATTTATTTTGTGATTTTTCAGTATTTTAGGTACATAACACTAAAGGTACTATGGTGTTAAATATTGTAAATTTGTACTCTTGGGAAGTTGTCTTCAGTGGATGGAAGATTTGGCTACCCTGACTGTTCATCCCCTTGAGCAATTTTTCATATTAATGAATTTAATTAAGCTTTGAAATAAAAACATTTAAAATAGCTTTTATTTACATTGCAGGGCGTATGGGGATTAACTTCCATCATCCAGGAACAGACAATATTATGGCTCTTAATAGTAAGTAGTTAATATCTAGTGGCTAATATTGTCATGTTGAAAATTATTTCCTACCTTTATCGTGTACATAGCTGTACAGTCAGACATAAATATGTGTAGTAATAATATTTGCATAGAAGTTTATGTGCACTCTCTTAAAATGATTTTCATAAATCAGTCATCTCTGATTTCATTGGCAGAATTGGTGACTGTTTATATTAGCTTTAGAATAGCTTTATGTGTTCCACTGGAAGTTTCATAATGCCTGCTATAGATAATATTGCAAAACAATCTCTGTTGTTTCTTCTTTTGTGGGTGTGTATGTGTGTTAAATCTATAACTTTAATTTCTGGTATCTCTCGTGACATATTTCTTCTTATTGGATGAGTTGTTACAAGTTTTGCATATAATTACCTTGACTGACGGAGTTTACTTTGTTGGTTTCCCCAAAATGATATGTAGACAAGACTGGAAAGAATGTTTAGACGTCTAAATAATGAGGAAAAAGTGTGGGGCTGAACTTCACTCAAAGATTATTGCTTTTGTTTGTGTTGGAAAATAAAAATAAATTAAAAAATTCCAGCCATGAACATACGCATTCAAAAAACCTGCCAAAATGGATCTGGAAGCTCTAGAGACAGCCTCGTATTATGTAGTGGGCGTGTGTGTGGGATGGGATGTTAGGCACCAGCAGCATAATGTAGAACTGAACTATGCAAATCAAAGCATAGTTTTTGTCCATCTAATCCTAAGAAATGCTAACTATTTTGAAATGTCTGTTTTTGCTTACAACGTTGTATTAGAGGTGTTAGGATTAATGTATTAACTTCTCTAAAATTTTTTGCCTTTGCACTGTCTATAGAAGTTATACTGTGTATAGTTGAAAGCTGCAGGTTTTCGTGTAGTACCAAACAGAATTAAAAAATATTTTATAAATGTGAAGAACTGAAAATTTGTAATAGACAAGATGCAAGGGTTTTAACGTTTGGCTTTAAATGCCAGCTTTTGGAACCTCTAAGACTTTGCTTGTGCTCTTTTTCTTAGTTTTACACTGTTAATGATGGGGTGATATTTTGCAGAGTTTCTATTGTCATAGTTAGCGTATGTGCTCCATTTTCTTATGGGGACATGAAATTATGGGAAATCAAGTAATTAACTGGGAGAAATGCTCCGTTTAATTAAAGACTTAATTAAAAGAGGGAGCTGTTCATGTGGGTGTGCACGTGTGTAAATAAGTTCTACACAGGACAGTCTGCTGCTTTTTGACATGAATTCTGGTCTCAGAATGTAGTTGTTCTAACATGGGCATTTCAATAAGCTGATCACAATAGCAGGATAATTGTGAAGGTGGGAGATTATGATTGAATTTTGAGTTATTTTTAAAAATTGACATTTACAGTGGAATATATAGCAGTATTTGTTACAAAGTCTTGTAGAGATTTTTAAAAGACAGGAATGAAAAATTCATACAAAAAGCTATACTATATACTGCACTATATCAAACCAGGGCTGTTCCATTTTGGGACAACTCACTTTTATCCTAAACAGATGAATGTATTCTATTCTGATTTGTCATTGCTAGATGAACTTTTTTTTTTAAAGTTGCCTCCTTAATCAATATAATATTTAAGAAAATATTTCTTCCTGTCTAATTCCTTTGAAATTTTTACAGCAGCTATATAATCTAATTGTTTATAAAAAATAATGATCCTTTGCAGCTATAGTCCTGGTGTACTGCTAAAATATTAGTATAGCTAACTGAGGGACCTAAACAAAATATATTTATGCATTTCCAGTATTTAAAATATTATGGGTTTATTGAAATATTAGCTGTTTACAGACTTAAATAAACCTGGAATCACAAATATGCAATTTATGCAAAATAGTAGTGATTGTTCTTTTGAATGAAATCCAGTGCAAATCAAAAGTCTGGATATGTTCCCATATATTTTCCCTCTCCTGCATCTCTTCTCCCTCCCGTTCTTTACTAGGCAAGGACACGCCATTTTTGGCCATTACTAAGAGCCCAGAAGCTAGAATTATTGTACTGTGAAACCTGTTGGGTTTTGTTCTTAAATCTTTGAAGAGCTGAGAATAAAAGCAAGTATTCAAGTACATAAGCTTAAAAATTACTTTTTGTGATTTAAATCCTCTTTGTGTGCAGCTAAACCTGAGAAATTTATAACTATGTAATTCCCATGTGATCAGTTACCTTTGTTATGAGGAATTATACTAAGGAAAGTTAGTCCAAGAAGAAATAGTCTTTCCTGTGCTGGAATGGTTGTGGTTTGGGTTTAAAAAGATAAAATAAGTAAAATAAAATAAAAATTCCCAGAAGATATTTCATCCCAGTAATTTTTGGAACAATTTGGAGAACTTGTGTAACTTGTTTAAATCATAATACCCACAAAATCTATATATAATTTCTGTGAAACCAAACACTGTCTGCTGAATCTGCAAATCTAACCTTCACATTCTATTTATAGTCTTTGCTACATAAGCATTTTTCTCTTTTCCTGCGAAGATGCAGTAATAATCTTTAAGATTTATTACTCAAAGCTCAATTTCTCACTAACAGTGTATGCAATCTTTTGAAGCTGGAAGACAACATAGGCTAATGTCATCAGCAATGCAGAACTTCATGTGTTGCAGGGGAAGGGGAAGTTTTCTGAGGGTTGTTAATTTCTTTAGCTCTTTCTCATCCTTTATGGCAACACTTTCAACTGTACTTCAGCTGGTATTCTTATTTACTGATTACAGCCTTTTGAAACTAGGGATTTTCCTGACTGACTGTCTTGAGCTACTGTCTGTAACTGTTGAAGGGGATTGTTTAGTTTGAGGGAAGGTGTTGGTTGTTTAGTTGGCAGGGCTTAGTGTAGAGCGTACTACCACCATTTTGTTCATCATTGTGCAAAGCAGTAAATCATCATCATCTCAAAGCACTGAGTTCTGAAATAATAAAATTTGTGACGTAGAAGGGATTACTTTTACATGCATAATTATGATTAATCTCTTCTTGTCATTAATGGCATTATGCTTGTGTATATACACAAACTGTTGCACATGTGTATAAGCAAGTTTAGTTGCACATGTGTATAAGCAAGTTTATATTGTAGAGGTGCTTGAAGTTATCTTTCAGAATTAGGCTTCTATTGAACAATGCAATGTTCAAATATTCAAAGATATCTGAACATAATCCTAAAGAGCATTTAAACAAAAGGAAGATGCAAATATTTAGATTTGAAACCTTTAGCGAAGGGGAGAAGCTATAGCTTCTGTCTATACTAGCTCTAACTGAAATTTCTCTAATTGAAATAGTGTTTTTATTCAAGTAGTGACATTGGTTTGTTAACTTTTTAATAATGTCATTCATACTGAGCTAAACAGTAGGGGAATTTTTATAAACTTTCATCTACAGCACCTTATTAAATACAATTGATAATGTAATTTCTAGGGGAAATGTGGCACAAATTGAACTATTGATTTTATTTATGTAAATTTGTATATGAACTTAAAGAGAAACCATCTATTGACAATACTTTTAGTAGATGTTTGCAATACTAATTAAAAGTTATGTTTACAATATGAAGCAAAACACAAAAATAAATTAATTTGCTTTGCCAAAATGAACTAAAAGGTGTCCTCCATCCCCTTCTCTTGCTTGTATTCACTCCCATTTGCAGTCATACATTTCTGCAGCCGTTGCTTGTCTTTGGGGGACACTGGATGTTCTCTTGAGTTAATATGTGCTCCTTTTTAATTAGCTACATAAACAGGACTGAATGATCAGCATGAATACAGAGTCACCTACGTGCTAGGTAGTGAGCTATCTTTAATGCTTCTTGTGAACTCCAGAAAGCCAACAATAAGCTTTAGTGGGAGAGAAGTATAGCAGGTGAAAAAGGGAGATAGGGAATAAATGAGGGTGTGTGATCTTTCTAAGGAAGCACTGAACTGAATTGCTGGGATCCCAAATGAACTTCTGTGAAATGAGTTTAGACTAAAGGTAGTTAAACCAACAAATGAGAAAAACCCCTTTGGGAAATGCTGGAGTTTTGATTTTCCTAAAACTCCTCTGTACAGTGACTTTGCACTGCATTTGGGCTTCAAATGTTCCATCTGCTTCAAATGTTCATTCTTGTCTCATATGAAAATGTGTCATCTGTAGAGGTCTGGTACTATTTGCTCTGTATCTGACTGTCTTTTATTCTTTTCTTTAGTGTCATTTAGTTCTGTTTGTTCTAAGTAAAATAATTTGCAAAATACATGAAGGCAAGGGTTTGGGGCACCTCTTTAGATGTTTGTGTGGAGATTTTGTTTTTGTTTTAATAATATAGATAATAATTATGTGGAGAAGTCATCATGCCATGATGGAAAATGTAATGGCAGCAAAAGAATTCCATTTTTTATTTTCATGCTTCTATTGGTTTTAAAATTGCCTTGTTTCCTTAAAAGCTGTTATACTTGGCTCTTCCTATATTCTGATGTATTGTTTCAAACACATGGAGTGTTTAGATATGACAAAGTTGCTGAAATAGCATTTTATATTTAAATCATTTGCCAATGCTCTTGGTATACCTTGAAATGAATTGCTCTGAATAGAAGGTTTATTGAACTATTTTTGTCTTGCAAAATCGTGGGTTGGCAGTTTAATTGCTAATAAAAGCTTGGGTTTTTGTAGTGATAATATTCTGGGAAAATGTGTGGCTAAATTTTGAGAGGCATCAATCTCTTCTAATAGTTTGGTACCTGCCTATAGGAATTTGCTGAGCTCTTTAGCCCAATTGCCAAGTCAGGTTACTAATGTGTTACTAGCTTATTAACATATGAGGAATAATAGAAAGGAATAAAAGATACTGAGAGTGCTAATAGGGTTTGTAAAACTTATTAAGACCTAATTTAGTTGTGAAGAGATCAGAGTTTATTTAACTGGAAGGAAAAAATGGTGTGAAATGTGACATAGCAAAGGCAGCAGGTTTCATAAGAATCCCAGAGTGTGTGAACTGCCACTTTATGCATAA